CCTTAAAGATAATAACAGAGTACAAGCAGTTCCTCACCTTCATGTGTCATCAATAGAAAATTTAAAATAGTCATCTCTTTAAGCAATGATGACGTGAGCACAGGAAGGAGAGGGAGCACTCGGTGGAATCAGAAGCATCTTAAACCAAACCAAACCTCCCCAAAAACACACATGGGGGAAAGAAAGAACTCAGGAAAGAAACCTACCAGACGAGCACAGAAAATGATAAAGGACAGGACACAAGAAAAGCTCCCAGTTTATCCATTTTACAAGCAAACTAACAGAATTTTAGGTCCCTAACAGTAAGTTCTCTCTCTACRTCTATTTGGACTTCATTTACTACAGCATCAAGCGACATCAACAGAAAGCTTCATTTCTCCACATCATCGAGAATACTGTGAGGAAAACACCCTGCAAAATCCTGCACTCCCTACCTGAGAGACGAGCAGCGGGAGCGGAAAGGAAATCYGCCACAATAGCCCAATAATCACCTTAGTTTCAACATTTAAAACTAAGCGCACACAGATTCATCTATAATGAGACAAAAGCATGACAGAAAACTTTGGGCCCAATGTTAAAAAAAAAAAATCTGTCAAAACTTATTGCACGCASGGCCTGCCTATACACTGTATCCTGAACTGGGATTATAGGAGAACAGGATCAAATGTTGCAAGTTTGAACAAAGGTTGTTCACACACTTAAACATTTCATTTAACATACAACTTAAGGTCTTCCTCTCAAAAAATAAGAGTGGAAGCAGTGAAAAATACTGCCAAGCACCACAGCATGGCTCAGAATAGGCACAGGAATGCGTAAGTATGTATCACAACATATTATTTCCCCTTTTGCATACGTATAGAAATGTTTGCCACAGAAAAGCATTTCCTGCGCAACCTGGAGCTATTTGAAAGCCAACCGGTTTTTGTGTTGAAAACAAAACACAGAGTTGAGCGCCAGCTCCTCATGGGTTGTGACAAATTACTGCCTGTTACCTTTAAAGTTCTTGATCACTAGTTTCTTAGCAGAGCCAGGTTTACTGTTGGCGAAACTGGAAACAGTTGAGGAGGCAGCTTTGGTCAGGCCGTTTGCATGGTGCCCCACAGCCACTGAAGAAATTAAAAGGCTTTTATTTTTGAGCTGCTGTTGGTGCTGCTGTTGAGAAGAGGCAGCGGGAGAGGAGGAGGAAGACGACTCCTCAGCCATCTTCACATCGAGTCCAATAAAATCCAAGGAGTCCTCRAAACGCAGCTTCTTCTGGAGGTGGTGGTTGGAGGAGGCGACCCCTGAGGAGGAGCAGGCGATGATGGAGGAAGATGAYGAGTTGTTCTTGGAAGGAGACGAGGAGCAGGAGGAGACGGAATCCACCTCCTCCCTCTCGGCGCTGCTGTTGTTTAACTTTCTCTTCTTGCAGGAGGAGCTGCTGCTGCTGCTACCCTCGGCGGCAGGTCTGACCTCCTGGGCTGCTGCGGGGGGGTTGGGGGAAGAGAAGCCTGTGGGAAACATGAACACGCGCGAGTGAGCGGGCCGAGGGGCAGCAAATGGCGGCGGGGCCGAGGCGGCGGCGCGCGCTGGCGGCCCC